CACACACACACACACACACACACACACACACACACACACACGCACACACGCACACACACACAGAGTTAGGTAGGCTGAAGCATCTCAAAGCCTTCGACTGTAGAATAAACTGAAACGCATAGAAATACAGTGCAAGCGCTGGATCAGCCAGCCATGCCGCCATCGCTACAGTACGTGTTTCCACTCCCCCAGTCCTACTTCAGCCCTCAAATACGTTATATAGCTGCCAGAGAGAAGAAGTGTCTCTGTAAACGCTTCTTGCATGATGGCATTATACATCACAATATCTACAAGTTTCTAAAATGACTTCAAACAGATGCGCACTTTTCCATTAAACAGGAAATGTGAGTGTACTATACTTTTCTTTTATAACAAACTAAACGTTTCTGTGTCATTCCCATTGTTACTAATATATAAACTCCTATACCGCATATTGAAGATGGACTCTACATCTGCACACTGAGACTGGAGTTGAAAAGCGAGTCAGGAGTGAGTGGAGTGTTGGTCTGAAGGTGAATGTAGTGGCGCAGTCGGAATGAGAAGCATCTCTTGCCCGAGCGTTTGTAGCAACTACAGCTTCCCTGAACTTATCTGTGTGTAATTCTGTTCAACAACATGCATGCTGATGGTAAAAATGTAAAATCCCTTATCAGTGCTGACATTTTTTTAGAGACTAATGTCCTGTTACCTGTGTCATTCTAGTCTTTGTGCTGGGCACAAGGAAGATAAGGGATAGCCATCGCTAAATTGGAGCTTGTCACACTGATGTTCAAATAAATTACCACCTTGATGGTTTTGCTACTTTTGTTCTCAAACACAAATCACTGCTGAGTATTTTTCAAAGTAGAAGCTACGAAACTTTCAGTGCACTATGACAGTTAACTTTACTTGATATAAACTTGCATGGCGTGCAGTTTGCTAGCATGGACCATTTTGAAACTCAGAGCACAGTTACTCAACAGTTTCAGATCTTTTAGTTTTAAATTTGCATTGCCTGTAACAGTCTGTGGAGTGACTTCAGTGTGAATGTTGCAGATAAAATCCAAAGTATTACTTGATGCTCCCCCAGTGTCAACAGTATTACTAGCTAACTTTAAAGCTAAGGAAAGCTAGGATGAGCCAGCTAGTGGCTATATTATGTATCATGTGTATGTGTCTCTGTTAGTGGGTGTGCTGCATTAGCTGTTAGCCAGTGAATGCCATTTGTCCTCAACGAAATTACTGGGTCAACACGTGAAGGAGCAGTCAATAAAATGTAACTGTTTCATTTTCTGGATCCAAGTCATTATCAGAAACAGCGCAGAAAGCAATTCAATGATCTATTAGAATCGATGGTACAAACTCGTTAGTTAGCTGTGACCAGCATGTTTGTCTTTGATGTTCCAAAAACACATTTTCTTGAATGTACGCCACAATACAAGATATTACAAAAACTACAATGATGGATTTTTAAAGTCTGAAAGTTGATTTTCATAGTGCTCTGAAATGAAACCAGAAGGTAGGAAATCAATGAAAAGACTTTTGCTTTGAAAAACAGTATGCATTTTTGTGAACTACTTGTAATTAATGGACTGAAGCAAAACCTGCAGTATGGTCCTGCATGGCACTCACCTGGGATAAACTGGTCAAAGTTTAGGGTTTTTGTCCAGAATTAATTTTTTTTTAAAGTAAGGAAAATAAAAAATCTATTTTTGCATTGGCTGAGAATCATCCCTGTAAGACAGCTACATGTGGAAATACAGTGTGTCCTCAAGGCTGTTCTCACCAAAATCATTGTGTAATTTCCCAAATTAGTCGTTTTGTTAGATATTCAGCTCCATACTGCGGTACGGCCTCCTTCTTGTTTGAGGTGGGTCCTGTTCATTATGAGTGTTATGGAAAATATATGAAATGCTCTAAAAATTTATAATTGTTTTTTTCTGAGAATGTATTCGGTTGTGAGTGGGTGTATGAATGTGGTTTATGAGTGTCAACAGAACGTGTGCGCTGCGTGACTGATTCTTTGTGTGAGTCTTTGTGCTGGGTGCCTGTGATAGAAACAGAGGTTGTGTATATGTACTTTAGTCCATTCTGTAGAGGAATAATTTTAACGTTTGTGTTAGTTGGTTGTATCCAAAGAGAGAAACTGTAACGCAGTGGTGTGCCATTGTTTAGTCCATGAAGCTCCAGTACTGAACAAATTAAATAAAATAGTAGCAGAAACCCGATTTGACTTGTCTCGTTTCTGACTGCGTGTGGAATCTTCAGTCGAACAGACTCAGAGGAGAAACGCTCCTATCCGCTCATCTCTTATCTCAGATGTGCTTCTACGTGCTATTGGCACAACCGTCTTCCGGTACACTACCGGAAAATTTAGCTGACACTGCTAATACTGCATTTATCATCAAGTGAAACAATCTGTGCCGCAGATCTGGACACTACATCAGAAATACGTGTCACCATCATCCACACACTATTCCAATTTTATTCAGAGAGGGAGGTGAGATACTTTCATTTTTGGGGGTCTCAGAAATTTCCAGTTTCTCTTTAAAAGCTTATCAGATGAAAAATCCAATAATTAAAGCAATGTTAAATATAACTCTTACATATTGTCCCACCTACTCCTAATACATGCATTAATTTAAATCGTGTTAATAATGACCTCTTTTGAATTCAAAGCAGAGGGAGTTAACAGTGTCATTTGTTTTTGTAACAGACAAAAAGTTACAGGTTGGGTGGATGTCCTTTGTGAGAGTTATAACTAAACTGATTCCAGTATTTTAACTTGATAGCATGATGGCCATACACTGTAGCTGCTATATTACAGAATCAGACAGTGTAAAGAGGTGGTGGTGTGAATGCTGGAAGTGAGGTTATTTCTAGCCAATCAGTAAGAGAGGATCACATCCATTCCTCTAGAATCAAACCTTTAAGTTGCCTCATAATTACAGTGCCTTGCAACTAACAAAACATTTCTTTTTTATAAAGCAGCAAACTATTTTCCAGGCTAAATGATGAGCTTCTATATTAAAGAGAGGTGTGCAGGACTTGTGGCATACAGTGATGCTGCAACAGTCAGCTGGTGCATCAGCTGCTCTATGCTGATGCTGCAGCAGCTGGACACTATTCTCAGCTTCCACCTCTGTGACAGTTCGTTCCTACACAGGAAACAAGTCTATGCTGGATTTTGTCCAACTCTGCATATACCCAAATAGCCCAGTAGGGGGCACTCAAAGATCTTTAGGTGTTTGGTTTTCTTCTTGTGCATTAAACTCCAAAGTAATGAGGTAAAAGTTACTTTTGCATGCAACAGCTTGTGGATTTACTGACTGGGAATAAAGCACAGAGTATGTGGGCAGTTTTATTTTTCTTAATATTTAGTAATGCAGCTGTGTTCTTACCACGGCTTCACTGTGATTGTTCGAGTGCATTTTCACTTTTTTCCCTTCCACAACCAGCTGTTACCATTGGTTTGTAACTGGGGCTGGACTGGAAATCTGGCATACAAACTGGCATTTGCCTGGTGGGCCTACACACTGGACTATTGGTCAATATAATTTTTTTCCTCTTTGTTGTTATAATCATGCAGCTTACAGGATGGCGTGAAAGCCCGCTGCTTACCAGCCCCTTAAGCACTGACAGCAGCCCACTGGTTCAGTTTTACTACTGACAGTAGATTGCCCAATTAAATCTCTTAACACAACCGGCCTCTCCCTAACCTTACCTGTGTGCTCGTGCACCTTGTGTAACACAGTTTAGTGTTGAAGTGGATCATACAGATAGACAAGGAAAAAAAAGGTGGATCTGCTACGACTGAAAACAAAACCAGAAATATATGGAGCAAAAGGTGGAATGAACATGGTCAGGAAATAGATTGAGATGTAATGGGGAAGGCTTTAGGACACAAGGGATCAAAGGGAGGAAGTAGCAGCAAGTGCTCTTCTTCTCTCTTTAGATTTAGCTGCCATTCACACGCATTGTGATTATTTTGCCCTACAGCAGAGATTCAAGGTACAGATGCTTTTTTTAAGTCAGCTCTTTTTAATTAAGTTTGATGAAATGTGTCTGATGTTTATTGTACATTGCTTTTTAGTAGTGATTAAGAGGACAATAATAAAGCTGTGTAGTAAACATAGCAGTCAGTTGGAGGTGTGGTAATTCAATACATTCAACAGATAAAAATGTGTTATTTATGCACTGACATGTAATTTATATCAGAGCAGGCTGCACATGAGATTGTGTTACTGTTTTCCTTTTCTCCTTTTGTTGCTCTTCACTGCTTTATTTTAGAGTAAGAGTTGCATTTTAAAACAGATTCTTTTGCATTTGGGTTTGCTTTTATGTTAACTGGCTCAGGTGCAGCATTAGTTGGGCAATGTGCAATCCCGGAGCTGGGGCTCACACATTATAGAAATTAGGCCATGCATAGGTGCTTTTGGTAAACTGATTTGCTGTGTCGGCTAAGATGAACAGGCACATGGCTCAATACAAAAGCAGGGCACAGAGAGGGATGGACAAGAATACCAGAGGCACAAAACACCAGCTACTGGTAGACCGAGCAGTCAGCTGAGACTGGAGGACCAGGCTGACCAACCTGTGGATTGATTACAAGAAGGCCTATGACTCAATGCCCCACACCTGGATCCTGGAATGCCTGGAACTATTCAAGATCAACAGGACCCTGAGAGCCTTCATCAGGAACTCAGTGGGGATGTGACGGACAACACAGAGGCCAACTCCAAGCCCATAGCACAAGTCACCATCGAGTGTGGGATCTACCAAGGAGATGCTCTGTCCCCACTGCTGTTCTGCATAGGCCTGAAGCATCTCAGTGAGATCACTGACAAGACTGGCTACGGATACAGATTATGGAATGGAGCCTTCATCAGTCACCTCCTGTACATCAGGTACCCTGATGGGATGAAAAAAAACTGGCCAAAGGAGGAGATAGAAGCCACTGACATCA